ACACTGGGTAGATTGCTCCGAGGTGAATAAAGGCAGAGGCTGACAACTTCAATACCACTTGCCTCACTTCTGGTGATTTTGTGACACCAGAGCTAGAACCTTAGCATTTGCCACGTTATGATAGCTGAGGTAGTCGGGTATTAATGTAACTAGCCAGAAATACTTCCCTTTCCTACAGTCCTTCCTCCTTGGCACATATGTTGTTTTCCAGATTGGACTGATAACCCAGTCCCAACAATAGCCTGGTCTTTGATCATCACGTTGTGTATTTGGGGACTTTAGGGAAATGTGTCCTTCTGTTTTGTTAGTGGAGTCCCCTGGGGATGGTGCATGAGTCTTAAAGGATGAATCCATGGAAGCTCTTTTCTGTTTGTATTTTGTTTATTTTTAGAAAGAATATGGGTTTGAATTAAATTTCACCATCTTTCTCATTAAATTCATGTGTATAGTGTCCTGTGCTTATTTGGAAGATAAAAAATCATGCAATTTTTTATGCAGCAAAGATATTACACATGCAGGGGATTTTATTATGCATCTATTAATCAGAAAGCTGCATAAATAATGAAGCAATAAAGAACTTTGGGGAATTCCTTCATAGTTAACACAAAATTGTCTTATTTGGTGTAGAAATAATGATGTCAGGATTTTAACTTCAAGGAAAATAGTTATATCTGAACAGGTAGCTTAGAAATGAAAAAAAAAGGTGGGGGAGGAGAGTGAAAGAAAAAGAAGAACTTCTCAAATTGATAGTTCGAAAATTACTCTGATGGTTAACTTTAAAATGTTCTTTAACCATCCAGATTGTAGGCTATTTCTGAAATGAAGGAACAGTTTCAGAGACCAGAGCACTGAAGACTATGAGAAAAAATGCAAGGGGTAGCACGTGGGGCCTGTGCGTTAGCTCTCAGTTCCCCACCCAGGAAACAACATCGTTGTGCCCTTGCTTCCTTGGCAGCTGGTAATGATAATGATGCCGGCACTTGGTTTTCCATTTTGCCAAGTCAGCTACTGCCATATAATTTTAAATGATTCCTTCAAATTCCTCCAGAAAGGAATAAAACCTATTCCTTTTAAAATAAAAAGCATTTATTACATTTTTCTGTCCAGTAAATAAAGAAATATTGTTCCTCATAGTCTGTGTATTACCAAGGAATATAATCCATCTTAATTCATCAAATCTGCACTGGGTGTGTGCAGGGATATAAAGGTCAGTCGTACAAAAGCCTATAGGCCTTGCCCTCAAGAGCAACAACTGATGTGATAGAAAACTGTTCTACACACTGGGAAACACAAGGAAGGACATCCAGATCACACAAGAGGTCAAGGAAGACCCTGAAGCAAGGCTCTTCGTTGCCAAATAGGAGCAAATGAGCCTAATGGATGTGTTGAATAGTTAGTATTTCTAGAATAAAGGATGGCAAACTTCAATATGATTATAAGTTCATGTAAAAAAAAACCTGACAACTGGACTAGGAGGTGACATCTTCAGAAGCAGAAAGATTGAAGCTGTCAAGGGCTTCATCTTGCTTGGATCCTTTCATAATTAATGCTTCTGGAAGCAGCCATTAATAAATCAAGGGACCACTTTCACTGGGTAAAGCTGCTGCCGCAGACCTCTACAAAGTGTTGAAAAGCAATGAGGCTGCTTTGATGAAGAAGGTGGGCCTGACCCAAGCTATGCTATTTTACATCATCTCACATGCATGTGAAACTTGGACATTGAATTAGAAAAACCAAAGAATCAATTCATTTGCATGATAGTCCTGGTTGAAGAATATTGAAAATACTGTGGAAAGCAAAAAGAACAGGCAGATCTGTCTAGGAATAAACACAGCCAGATGCTCCTTAGAAGCAAGGATGATGAGATTCTATCTCATTTAATTTGAACTGGTTATCAAGACCAGTTCCCAGAAAATGACATGATGCTTGGTGAAGTAGAAGGGCAGCAGAAAAGAAAACCCCAATGAGGGTTAGGTTTAGGTAAACAGAGTGGCGGTGACATTGGGCTCCATTATCATGGTTGTGAGGCCCGCATGTTTTGTCTTGTTTTGCATAGGGTCTCTGTGAGTTAGAAGCACTGGATGGCCTTAATAACTACAAAATTAAGGATTGACTTGGGTGTGTAGCAAGAGAGGAAGTCATCATGAGGAGCCTTGTAGAACCAGCTGCATTTGATTTGTCAGAAATTCCCAAATATTGACGCTGACATGCATCCTGAGTTTTGAGATGTTTCTAGTGCTATTTAATGGTGGCAACTTTAATGCAAGCTCTGTGTTTTTAGATCTGTAGTTGAGGTTGCCACCATCTAGCTACAGAGAAAAAAATCTCATGGAGAGATGTACTGAAATTTTATTTATTTTCAATCTTTGCCACCTATCCACTAATATTCTGCACTTATACTCAGAAATTCATTGAGGCATTTTTCAAAGACAATTTCTTTTCCAGAGGGAATGCTGGTACCAGCTGTTGAGTACTGGTTTTTATCTATTATTTATTAGGTTTTTTTAGTTAATACTTTGGATCTATAATCCTTAAAGCCATTCTAATTTGCATATGCAGTGATTAGAATCTTCTCTGATCCAAATTTAACTAAAGTTAGAATGGTAAAAACACCAACTGTGAAGAGACATGGCTTTGAAGTAAGAAGCCCTGATTAATCCTGGCTCTGCAGTTAGTAAGCTGATGACAATGGGCAATTTTCCTTACTTCATTTGGACTCAAAATCTGCATTGTTTACAGGAAAAAGCTATCTGTTTTTCCAGCCCATCAGGTTACTGTAACTGTGAAATGAACTAACTGACATGAAAGTGTTAAATAACATAAAGAAAACCACGAGTAACCACAATTAAACAATAATTGTTGAAACGGAATTTTCTATTTTAATTTACCAGGATTTTAAGGGCCCCCTCCCTCAACTTTAAGTTATACACCCTTCATCAGGTTACTTCAAAAAGTTGAGGGGATTCAACAGGGGAATCATTTGTGCTTACTACCTCATTCAGAGGGGACCCAGGCCAGAATGCAATGCTAAAAATCTTATTTTTTAAAAAAGTTGTCCTTGAGGCCGTTATTACGCATGGCATTACAGTGTGTGTCAGCTGGAACTCGGCACCACGAGGCTTTTAATGACTGGTTTTCAGAAGTCACCGGGCTTTTTCTAGAGGGCTTTTTACAGATGGTCTTCAACCTTCAAATTCTGGGCTTGGTGTTAAGTGTACCACCTAGGAACGTCACAAACCTTCTCAGGAAGCTAGCATTCAACCGTATTTCCTACTCCAACATTGACCTGACTCCTGAGGACGTGTGTCTAGTCCACACAGGAGCAGGATTCAAATTCAGACTGTCAGTTTCCAGAGCAGATAGTACAGCCTGGCACATCATCAAAATCACTCCTAATTATCAGATCAGAAGCACAACTCTGTCAAATATACCCTGAGCACAGAACTTTATGCTCAGATACACCTGAGACCTCTGAGTACTAGTTGCAAAATTCCTGTAATGATAAATCTCCCTCCTTCAGAGGACTCTTAAATTATCTGTGCCTCAATTTCTTATGCACTTGGAAAACTGAAATATATAAGCACCTTTGTACATCTGGTGAGGATGGAGTGAGGCAAGACCCATCCATCAGCAGTACAACGTCTCACACATCCTAGTGAGCGGAAGAAAAATGACAGTAAATGCACACCTGCTTTATTAATGGAATTTGTTAGTCTACAGACATTCTTCACGACTCCAAAAATCACTGCCCTCGAGTCGATTCCGACTCACAGTGACCCTAACAGAATGAGTAGAACGACCCTGTGGGAGTCCTAGACTGTGCGTCTTTATGGCCATAGACAACTTCTGCTTACTCTCCTGGACCAGCCGGTGGTTCGAAACGGCCACCCCATGCCTAGCCCATGAAAAGGTTTTGAGGTGCTGTGTTTCTGTACGCTTTCATTTACACTTTGTCCGTATCTCCAACAACCTGTGGTCCCTCGACAGGATGAGAGGCTGTGCTTGGGACCCCGCACAGATCTCGGAGGGAATGACAATAACTTGAAGCGAATCCAGGAGATACGAACATGGAACTATACGTAGAAGTTCTCTAGCTGTTTAGAAAAGTGATGCATGTCGTTGAAACACAGTCGTCTTCTCTTGGGAACATTTACATGAAAGGGCGTTGAGCTATAAAAGTATTAAGGTGCCTCACGGCAGAGCCATCCCTTCTCTTATCCCCATCAATTTTTTACCATATGCTAGACACTCTAGTGGGTACTGGGACAGGGACCTCAATGAACAAAACAGAAAACATGTCGTAATCATGACACGTTCATGTATTTGTGCTTTATTCCATGTAATTGAATTGAAATACATTATTGAAAAAGTATTAAAGCAGTAGAAAATGCACATGTTTTAGAGGGGTTCCTATGAATATTTGGAGATCAACATTTAATATTACACTACTGTTGACTGTAACCTCATGTGCATGATTGGGATGCCAGTAAAATCTATAATTCCACAGTATTAAGGAGAGTGGACTGATTCTTTCCAAATTACAGTACTCTCCAGGTAAAGTCCAGTAGAGAAAACTGTTCTACATGACAGACAGATGTCTAGTCAGATGTATACATTTCCTTTTATCTCTTTCCAGACTTATTCCAATAGTTATGGACCTCGAAGCAATGATGACTTGATTTTTAAGACTGGTTTGGGGTCAAGCTTTTCACATCCTTTAACTCAGTACCATGCATTCACAATTTGCACTTTTGCTTTTGCTTTTACTGGACCGCCTTTAAATTGCTAAATAAATACCTGAATAAATTAAGTTATAGAAAACTGCATACTTGTGTTATGATGGATATCTGGGTATCAAGATGTTTGAGTATCCATAATCTCTTAATGATTTGGAATAAATACTTAATTTTTTCCTTCTACATGAAAAGTATTAGACTTAATATCTGCCACTCATAGGTCAACGTAGTAGTAACCATATTTTTATTTTATTCACGTCTCAGGTTCGGTGAAGGTTATACAGTCAAGGTTTGGCTCTGTAAGCGAGCAGATCAACATCACACTATTACTGACTGCTTGAAGCTCCATTTTCCAGAAATCCAGTTCAAGGTAGTGCTAATTCTTGGCCTGGCATCTTGGTTTTCATCTATTAACGTACTTGTGTTTTTCTGTGTTAATTCTATGGTCTAATAAATACTGTCTCATCTTTTGGCCTCATGGCAACATATAGGCTATGCTGACATACCATATACAACTGATGATGTTTCACAGCTCTTAAGGAAAAGGCACTTGTTGTAGACACCGGCCCTCTGCGGTGCATATCCATTGCAAAGTGTGTTTTGTTCAGGGTGGAATATTGCGAATGCTTCTTTCTTACATATATTGTATTTAAGTTTACAAGTGGTCAAATCAGTGTTTATTTCCCAAAAGACCTCTAGACTTGGGATCAAAATTTAAACCAAATCCTATAATCAATTTTATTCTTTCTCCCAAACATTTCTCCTATACCACATTAATTTTGTACTTTGAAAAGATCTCTAGGCATGTTATTAGCTCCTTAAAAATGTCTTCTTCAGTTTTGTGGCAATGTAGGGGCATCTAAGGGAAAATTAAAGTATTTCTACTAATGTTCTAGTTCATGTATGCACAGTCTGTCCCCCACCCCCACCCCACCCCCCACCCCCACCCCCGCCCCAGAGCAAATGTGAAACATATCTTTGCAATCAGTTGATGGCTGCAGCAAGGTCTTATAATAGCACACTGTTTTAGTCTTGTTAGAGGGTACCTGCATAATAATAAAAGGATACTTTTTTTTAAAAGGTTGCATAAAGGTCAGTGTGTTAGGCCAGGTTAACTAGAGAAGCAAATCCAGTGACCCTCATACATGTGTAAGAAAGAGTTTTATATCAAGAACTAATTATATATTGAGAAAACATCCCAGCCCAGTCCAGCTCAAGATCAGCTCAGAAAGTCACGATGACTGCTTTCCG